CCCCAGGCCGGTCGCATCATCGCGTCGATGCAGGTGGAGAAGCAGACCGCGGCCCTGCGTGACGCCATCAGCCGGCCGCTGATGCGGGCGGCGGACCTGCTCAAGAAGGACATCCACGACCACGACGACGAGCTCGACGAGGAGGGGTGAGCGGGGGCTGCGGGTCGCACGCCTTTCCTTTGTTCAAGGGCGTCGTTTGGGTTGGGTCAGGTGCACGGGGAGGAGGGGTGCGCGGGGGCCGCTGGGTTTTTGTGGGTTGGGTCCTCCAGTGTACACGGAGCTGTACGCAATGGGGTGCGCGGGGCTGGTTTGTTGGCCTATTTCAATGCATTTCCTCCAACTAGTTTGAGAGCGGGGCCGGCCAGGTCTGCTTGGCTTGGGTTTATAAATGAGGGAGCTCGGCGGGGAGGGGTGCGCGGGGGCCGCTTCCTTTTCCTGTTTCTATCCATTTCCTCTGACAAGAGCAAGGGGGGATTCGGCATGACTTGGGTTTAGGGTTAAGGGAGCTCACCAAGGAGGGATGCACGCTGGGGCTGCCCTGCTGTGATTCACAGGGGGGGCCGCACGCTCGCAGCCCTTCTTCTGAGCAGACGCGCTGCAGGATCGCGGGTCCTAGGGGCTGGGGGACGGCGGGCACGTTGGACTGTGCTACACCGATGCTTGGGGCTGTGTCTTACCGCACCAAAGAGATTCGGGTTGAGGGATCGTCCGGGGATAACAAGGAGAGGAGTGTTTGGCTGTTTTAGCCAGCCAATCTCAGGGTTTGGGTTGGGTGAGCAGTTTGGGAATGGCGCACTGCTTTCGCATTTGGGAGGCTGCGGAGGCGGTGTGTGTATATTCAGTCCCAAGCCCACAGCTACCGTGCTTGGCTTGAGGAGAGCTCGTGGGAAACTGGAATGAGGGAAAGGGGACAGGAGGTGGAGGGCAGGATGCTCAGGCCAATGCAGGTGATATGGGATAGGGTCGTGGGGGTCACACATATCCTACCCCTGGCCGGCCGACGAGCTTCTACTGCCCACCCAACTCTGCCCCTCCCCACACAACCCCACCGACAGGGCCCGTGCCCCCATGATCTACCTGGGCGCCGAGGGCGCCCCCCACCACAGCAGCAGCGCCTCGGCCTCGCGCCGCGCCTCGCGCGCGGCGCCGCCGTCGCGGCGCGCCAGCCTCCCCCACGGGGACGACCGGCCGCCGCCGACGGGGAGCGGCGGGGGTTATGAAAAGCTCTGATTTTACCGACGTTGCAAACGGGGTTGCGGGGAGGGGCGACAGGCTAGGGTTTAGCACGCTGCTAGAATGGCGCCCGTGTGTCGGGGCGCATCGCTCTGTTTGGAGTCAATGGTGTATTGTGCTCGTCGCTCAACCCTGGCACTGGGGATGGTCCTGTTGCAGCCTGGTGTGCACTGGAGATGTCACCCAGCGCTCTCGCCTTGTGTGTGTGTTTTGTGTACCTTTGATTCTTAGAGCCGTAGCGGAGTGCAGCTCCTCGAGCCGGGCTCCTGCCCGCCTTGGTGCCTGCATTGATTTGCAGCAACATCCCCTACCGCACCAGCCGGCCGCTGCGGCTGGCCTTTCTGTTTGGCGCACATGCCGGGATACTTGTAATCTGCCAAGCCATCTGGTGTTTTGCAACGCGCTCAAACCTGGAGGCTTTCAGAGCTGCATTCGGGTGCCTGGGCGCATTGAGGCGAATGGGGTCATTCAGGGCTCACCTAAAGCTTTGGGTGGCCAGGATGCTGCCAGCATTTTGCCGGTAAGCTGCTAGGCAGTTGCTGACGGTCTGGACACAAGCGAAACAGTTGTGCAAGGAAAGAGGGGTGCAACACACAACAAGCGCACGCGAGCATTGAAACAGCGGGGCTGGCGTCTTGTGCAGCTCCGCGGAGGCTGTTACTTCCCGCTGATCCAGCAGTTCCTGCACGGTATCTTTGCCAGCAGAGACCTTTGCAGCAGGTGTGGCGACTTTGCAGTGGATGAAACAAGGTGTGGGGCAACAGGGGCCCCGCCCCCACACACAGACACGCATACGCCCCGCGCGCGCGCACACCGCGCACGCGCACAAACACACACACACACACACACAAGCACACACACACACACACACTCACACACACACACACACACACACGCACAAGCACACACATGCACACACACACACGCACACACAGCAGCCTCTCGGTGACCGCAGAGCTCTGCGGCCGTGCCAGGATCCGCCACGGGGAGGCGGGCTGCTATCGGATCCCAAAGTTCGCGGCCCGTGCACATCAGCAACAGGTGTCGCGCAGCCCGCTCGGACGAGTCAGGGCTGGGCCGCTGGGTAGAACGCAACCGCTCAGCCAGGGGCCCCCCACAGCGCAGCCCCGCAGCAATGAAGACGGCAACCCGTCGACCTCGCATGCGTGATGCGCCCCCGTCGGATGGTCACAGCCCCTTGCGGCGGCCGCCAGAAGTCGCAAGAGCGCGGGTCGCCGCGGGTTCGGCGCCGCTGGGTGCACAAGCAGCAGCGCGCTGCAGCGCGTGTGCCCGGTGCACCTAAACAGCGGCGCCGCCGACCAGGTGGATGGGGCGACCAACACAAAGCAGCACACACACTCACTCACACACACACACACACACACACACACACACACACACACACACACACACACACACACAC